GACAAGTCATAGTACTCCATAGCGCCACATGTTGGTGGCACAAGGTTTCCTATCAGCATACTGTTCAATGTTCAGAACTGCATCTTATTCCAGAATTCTCCCCTGTTAAAGTGAACTTATACCATTCACATTTAAACAGTAGGAACATCGACCCAGAATATCTCAGTGGCAGCGGTGGGAAACGTCTCCCTGTCTCCCACACACCAAGACGTGTAACATTTTTGACGCGTACTGAGCGAAGTTAGAAACAAACATCTACCCTTCACCTCCTCCTTATCACCTCACAGCCCTGCTCTCTGCTGCTGCTGCTGCTGCTGCTGATATTACTGCTGCTGCTTTTGCTTCTCTTTGTTGTTTGTCCCTGCAGGGCTGATTGAGCAGCGCGTGACTGACGGCCCGCGGGGGTGTTGTCCAATCAGCGCTCTGCCCCGCGTCCAATGGGTGAGTCCCGTCTGCGATTGGCTGAGGCGAGTGTGGGAAAGAATGCAGAGAGGGTTTCACACGAACCGGGAGCACGCGAGCGGCGTATAAGTAGCGCGGCGGCGTGTGGCACAGGCAGAGTACTCGAGTGATAGACGTGCGCCTTTACGCACGCTGCTGTAGGTCAGGTGACAGCGCAGTGACAACAGACGCACAGTGAACGACTGCCAGTGGCTAGAAAACATCTTTTGAGCTTTTTTTAAAAAGCATTTTTTATACTTTTCGGTCGTTTCCGACACCAAGGATTTACTCTTTTACGTATTGCCCTGATTTGATCCACAATGCCAGCGGACACCATGGAGAAGCAGACGGCGTCACCTATCGCCGGCGCTCCTGCAAATGGATCTCACACACCGGACAAACCCAAAAATGCCAGCGAGCATAGAAAGGTAAACATTTATTTGTTTACTAAAAAACTAATTACGCCCTTTTCTGAGCAATGATGTTGGCATGATGACATGAAACTTAACAATATGTGACGTTGTTTCTTCTCTACAGTCGTCCAAGCCCATCATGGAAAAACGACGTAGAGCGAGAATTAACGAAAGTCTCGGGCAGCTCAAGACCCTCATCCTGGACGCACTTAAGAAAGACGTAAGTAGAGGTCAACTTAAATGGCTTTAAATTTAGTTCTTAATACATACACTTCTTCCGTGGATGTGGACAGAGTCTAAACTTTTCGTGTTTTTTCCACAGAGCTCCAGACACTCCAAACTGGAGAAAGCAGACATCCTGGAGATGACAGTGAAACACCTGAGGAACCTGCAGCGCGTCCAGATGAGCGGTAAGTTACATTCACTCACAAAGCTGTTTAATTGTATTTTTTTCTCGTCAACATTACAAAGAATTTTAAAGTGACAATCCCGTTCCTGATCTGAACTTTCTCCTCTCCGTCTCCTCCAGCAGCCCTGTCAGCAGACACCACCGTCCTGAGTAAATACAGAGCCGGATTCAACGAGTGCATGAACGAAGTGACCCGCTTCCTGTCCACCTCAGAGGGGGTGAACACCGAGGTGAGGTCCCGGCTCCTCAGCCACCTGTCCGGCTGCATGGGCCAGATGATGTCCGTGAACTACGCACAGCAGGTGCCGTCCCAGCAGGCACACCTGGCTCAGCCTCTCCACGTACAGCTCCCGTCCACTCTGCCCATCAGCGGCGCATCCATGGGCTCGAAACTCAGCCCGGTCGAGGCCTCCTCTCCGAAGGTCTTCGGTGGCTTCCAGCTGGTGCCCGCCACAGACGGACAGTTCGCTTTTTTGATCCCTAACCCGGCCTTCGCCTCCGCCACCGCCTCTGCTCCCGTCATCCCGCTTTACTCGAACGCAGGAGTGTCGGTGGCGGTGAACGCCAGCCCGGTCCACGGCAGCTCCGCGCCCACTGCAACGTCTCCAGTCCACGGCATGACGTCCTTCTCCGGAGGGTCTCAGGCGGTGAGTCCGGTGGGGGTCAGCACAGGATCTGAGGGCAGTGACCCCGTGTGGAGGCCCTGGTAGCTGAAGAGACTCGCGTCAAAGCAGTTATTGAATTATTTCTGTTTTTTAGACTTTTAACAAACTGCACAGACTGTGTCGTGGAGGATGAACCTGTGACTTTTCCATTCTGTGGAACCGTGACTCCAACCACTCACTGACATCAACAACAACTACTCTTTTTCAAAGTTTCGTTTTATGGAACAGTTGCCTCGCTGTGTGGCATTTTCTATTAATTTATTGTCTGATTCCAACATTTGGATGTCGGTGATAAAACGTTGTACATGCAGAAAGATTATAGGACAAATGTTATGAAGTACTTTTTATTAAAAGGTTTTAGTTTTGTACAGAGTTGTTATGAATTGTTATACCAAAGCTGTGTTTTATATTCTTCGTTGTTTTGTGTTGAAAAGGAAAATAACTCAAGTCGGGTGACATTGTTTTAATAAATGACTTTTCAGAAACTGACTTTGTTCGTGGTTCGATTTATTCTGTTCTCTGGAGTAAACGTTCGATCAAAAAACTTTTATAAATTACTTTTCGGATCAATTAAATCGGAACTTCCTCATCAAAAAGTTTAGAACTTTTTTTAAGTGACTAACTCGTCACTTCTGCGTCGGCGGCGGGAGCCCTTTACATCTGGCTCAGTGGAGACCGCTGCTGCCGACAATGGGGGTGTATTTTTCTATTGCTATAAAGGTAATTAAAAGTTTGAAAGGAGGTCTCATCCTGTATGCAGCGGGAGCTTTGAGGAGTCTTAAACCCTATTCATGGGCCTGGGAAATGCTCTCAGGGGTTAATGTCACTAACAGATTGGCCCAGTGAAGGGAGAATATGGAAAGATCCGGGCGGACCTGCATCTCAACAATGAAGGGGAGAATGAAGGAAGGCCGTGGAATGTTATTTATTTATTTATTTATCGGGGGTGAATGGGGGGGGGGTGATGGAGAAATCAGTGCCGATACGTATTTATTCTATTTGCCCTCAGTGTCCTCCATAAACCCATACATGTGGCTTCTTAATAGAACGTCTTCGCTGTGTTTATCCCCTGGGTGTAAGTTTATCTCCCTCTGAGACTGAGGTTCGAAACCTCGGGCAGTGTCTCTGTGTCGGGCTGCGTGGCGCTGGCCATGTGTCAGCCACTTGCAGTCAGTGGGCCCCATTACTGTGGATTAGGTTACAACCCGGGGACCGCCGGTCAACACCCCCTCGACCCCCCAACATTTAATACGCCTCCGGCGCGTCGTGCGGGTGCGCATGACTGGCACAGGCCGACAGTTTGGTGGTTTTGAAGTTTTTCTTTTCTTCGTAGGAGGAGAGCTAAAGAAAAAAAAAACTTTAAAAACAACGGTTTTTAAAGTTGATTTTTGGATTTGTTCTACGTGACAAACTCAAATCGTTTCCTACAGATAAGCACTTCAACCCCTGGTTCAACTCTCCTTCTGACTGACTTGGTAATTTGTTTAGTTGCGATTTCGGTTTCATCCTGCCGGCTGCAGTCAGTGTGCCCTGCAGATGACACTGCCAGTTAATGGCACTGAAAAAACCCCACACCCAGACTGACGTTTGGGCCACTGCCTCATCAGAGCAGCAGCACACTGAACCAACAGTTGGCACCGAGTGTGTGGGTTTTGCGGTTCTCCCTGAGCTGCCTCAGTGTCTAGGCAATAGTTCAGATGTGCCTCCGTGGAGCTGAGGTCGTGAGAACCGAGCAGACTAGTGAGCCTGTGGCCTGGCGCGGTGCCACTCGGTAAATCCCCGCTGCACGGTCAGGTGGTTCAGGCGCAGACACACGAACGCGTGGCCGCCCAGAGGCACGGCTTTTTCACAGGCAAGAACAGGACGGGTCAGATGCTGCGGAGTTTTCCTTATGACAACAGGTTGACTGCGTGCGTCTTAACACACACACTCACACACTCACACACAGCCTAATAAGCCACACAAGTACAAATCAGTGTTTTTGGAAAACATATAAAACACACTTAGAGAATACAGTTTCACACAAGTTCTATGAAAATGGATCACACGGATCTGGTTCACGTCGATTCACACAAGTCTGAACTAAAGTGATCGATGATCAGAAACAGCCAGTAAATCAGGAATCAGGCGGGAAAGGAGCGGCTCTGCTGATGAAAAGGATTCCAGCACAGGGTTGAATGTCCCCGAGGGACCTGCGGCATCACGTCCCCTGGGAGAAGTCAGTGTTGTAGGGGGGCAGGGGTCATCAGGGGAGCCACAAATTATCATTCTCATTAGCGAGTGAATGGAGGAACGCGCGCACCAAAGTTAGCGCCAAACTTTCAGCATCAAATCTCCCTCCAAATTCACAAACGTCTTTGTGGCACAGAGTCCTGTTTAGGCAGCACTTATACTTCTTTTTATAAGGAACTTTAACGACAGCCACAGGTTGTTGCAGTTTGCATGGACTCTAAGTGGGGTTTTCCACCCTTCACCTGGGTCTTTGTTTCTAAAATAAGTCAGATCTGCAATTCTCACAACCTGAGCTTTTTATAGACAAGAAGTAAATCTTATTTTACCAGAGTACGAAATATATAGCCAAGCTTCTGTAGCAGCTAAATAACAATTTCTCTCCAGAAGTTAATAAAGTTTTTCTAAATGTGATCTAGTGTTGTATCTAGTGTTTACTTTATTAATGAATACAGGACTTTGTGTATCTACAGTTCAGATAAATCAACTTTTACATCTAAAAATGTGTGTTTAAAAAAAGTGATACATTTTCTTTAAAAAAAGGCCACACACAATATTTTTTGTTGTGAATTTGCCCATTGTGGGATAAATGAAGGATTTCTGATCTAATTTTATTTTAAATAAAGTTGGCAATTCAATTTAATATCAAACAAAAAAATGTTAAAGTTAGATAAAATCAGAGAAATGTTGGCTAATAGCTTAATATCTAATGGCTGAAGAAATCTCAGGGAAACTGATTAGAGTTACTGAAGGGATAGCTGTAATTTCTTTAATCAATATGCCTAAAATATAGCCACATTGTCAACCATGAGCTAAAGTATAGTCTAACATTCTTAGAGTTCGCAATAATAGCTAATTATACATAGGCAAAAAAAAAACCCTGTTAACTGTTTCCCCAACAGCCGCTTATTCAATTAAACTACAGCTGCTAAAAGTTTTTTTAAACTAGTCCAAAATTAGCTACTATATAGCTCAAAGTAACAGATAAGAAAAAACACAAGTGAAAACACATGCTTCAACATGCAGCAAAACAACAACGTTATTATTATACATGTATATACGTACAGTATGTACATATAGTACAAAAATGTATACACATAAAATCACCGAGATTATTGGGTGTCTTCTAATAATTACACTGTATTAAACTGATACTTGACACGCCTATAGGCTTTGGCTGCAGTGTTTCTCAAATAGTGGGTCATGTAGATAAAGCGGGTTCCCTGAATTATTTTTAGTTTCCCAGGACATCCAGTGACAATAACAACAGTTCTGTGAAGTTCCTTAGCAACACAGGCTGCATTAAGACGACGAAGAAGAAGAGGTTTGGGTTTGTCTCCTGTTTGCTGCAGGTTGTTTGTTCAAAGGATACAGCAAAATAAATAAGAAAAAAAGAGTACAGAACAGTAGCAAAAAAGTACAGCCTGGACCTCAGGGCTTCCTGACAGAAGAAGAAACACTGTTTAAATGATCAGTTTCAGGAGTTTCTCGTGGAGGACGTGGAGGACTCTGGTCCTCAAACTGAAGACGCTGCAGCTCCCTGGACATGAGGAAATGTTTTGCATGCTTTGGTCACAGGTTCTGGGTAGAGGAAGACAGGGCTGGAGAAGACATCAGGCACAAAGTGTGTCAGCCTGTGTGTGTGTGTGTGTGTGTGTGTCAGACACTCCTCCCTGCACCTGTTTTCTTGAGAATGACAGAGGGCGATAGGGAGAGGCAGAGAGGAGACACACATGAGACAGAAAGGGGAGGAACCAAGATGTTGAAACTGCTGAAGAAAAAAAGAGTTTGCCTTGAGTGTGTGAGTGGATGGTGACACGTGTTTGTTTTGATGTGCAATAGGGGAAAAACCACATTAGAAGTAGAGACTGATTTGTCAGTTCATGGATTACTTTTATTGGAACATTCTCACGTTTGACTGCCTGACACCTCATTAACAGGTGTTCACTTTATATTTCAACTCCTCCCCCGCAGCTCGCAGCCCAACTGTCCGACTCCTGCTGGTATTTATAGCATTGAGCCCTTTTCTCTGGTACTGCATGGGTGTGAAGTGTTGGGCGTGTGCAGACGGAGACGGAGGTGAGGCAGGGTGAGAAGAAGTGCTGGGATGCATTGAGTCTGATCAAATATCACACAGTCTGGGCGAACCATGTCGATCGTCAGCGCTTGTCTGCAGAACGTATATTTCGGTGGACAGTTCTGGCTTTTCAGCAGCTTCTCCCGTTTCAAGGCTCGAGGCCTGCTGCCGTGCACAGCTCTGCAACTGGTGCGGATTCCTCAAGAGAAAGTTAAAGGTCCAGCTGATGGTGCCAGAGGTCAGGCTGCAGACCCGTAGATGACTACAAAGACTTTACCGTACGCTGGTCACAACACAAAAGTGTTTTTTTTCACCCATTAACAATGTTACAAATACATTGAATAATAATGTGACACAAGTAAATCCCATTAACATTGCAGAATACCTAAACTTCAATCATAACACCACCTGCAGGGGAGGCAGGGGATTACATGCTCTTTAAAATAGAGCTGGGGGTCACCAACTATATTTATCGGAGGGCTAACATTTTTTATAGATTTATCTATATTAAATAGAACTATATTTATCGGAGGGCTAACATTTTTCTTCACCTCGGGGGACGTACACTCAAACAAAATGAAATAAAACAAAAAATTTTGTCTAACGATGTTTATTTTGGAATCCAGTTGCGGGCTGGATTTGATCCACGGGCCGCCACTTGACAATCCCAGATACAGAATGCATAGTTGAGCCCAAAATAGTACTACAATGTGCACAGTATAGGAACTTTCCTGAATGGTACTTGATAAATGTGTTTCCATGGTGGAATGAATGGTGACTTGTATTTTATGGTAAATAATGCAGCAGTATATCTAACAAGGTTTACAGATTTAGTTACTGCAACGGCACTAGTGCTCTGCAAGAGTCAATACCTGTGTGTGTGTGTGTGTGTGTGTGTGTGTATTTGGCCACACGTGTGACTCATACCATGTTACCACATGCCCAGACTCGTCTCTAATTTGACACTTGAGAACATTAGGAAGAAGGCACGTCTGACTCACACGTCTTCAAGATGGCACTGTCTGTACGTATTTCTGTGGGTGAGTGTGGCTCAGGTTTGTGCGTTTGTAAGTGTGTGTGCGTGTGTCTGTGTGTGTGTGTGTGTGTTATGGGTAAAAACAAAATTCAAATGAGAGGTTGGCTGTCAGTGTGAGAACGACCCCTGACACATTTCTCGTGCAGA